AATGAACTATCAATGGAAATAAAATCTCTAAAATCTCAATTTCACCCGATTATTGTCATTCGGATTGATTTTTCTCCTAACCGTAGTTGAATTGTCAGCCAAGTGCACTAAACCTTCTACTCGCCTCTTCCGTTATACTAGTAGAAATATTTATACTAATCACACTCCGATATTCCTATGAAGCATGAATTAGCATAAATTCATTAAGCTAAGGCACTCATTATGAGTACGCATAGAGTATAGATATATTCCTATTTGATACTTGTAGGATCACGTTGTGATTTTTAAGTGAAAAATCATTTAAACAACAACAAGTTTGTAGGCAGAAATTTCAAAAATTTTCACATATCATTTTAATTCCGAATTAAACACAAATAACAATGATAGATTCATGCATGATGTGTTTATGGAGAAAAGAATAAGTTGACAATCATACCTTTAAGACGATTGGATCAAATATGGCCGTAAGGATCTTGTTTCACTATCTCACGTTCTGAGATGGAGAATTGCCGTGAAACAAGACCGTTGATTTATGAACACGAACACACCAACAACCACTCATTGATTCAAGGCTATGACTCTTAATTTTTAGGAGAAGAGAGTGGGCTCTTTTTAAAAACCTAAGGAAACAAATTTTCCTTCTATTTTTTAATACCAAAATCCGGCCACCTTAGAGGAGAGAAAAGAGTGAGATATTTTTTCATCTAGCCACCCTCCTAGGGTTTTCAATAATTTCTCTTTATAGGAAAATTCGAAACCTAACCCTAGATGGGTTTTTCCGAATTTTTTCCTCAATTTTTGGAACAAAATCCGAACTCTCCCTTCCAAAGGGATTTCCGAATTTTTCCAAAAATGAAATCAAATCTCTCCCTCCTTTAGTTGCCAAATAAAATTATGTTCAAACTTTATTTATGAATTTTAAATTAATCATCATTAATTTTAAAATTCCAAATTCATTCCTTTTATTTTTCAATTATCAAATAAATGAAAAATAACATAATGAATTTATTTAAACATAATTGTGTAACAAACATCAGTTTTAATTTTCCCACTTATTAGAGCTAGCCTTGAGACCGAATGGACCCATATGAACAAAGCTATGAAATTACAATACTCGACTAATTTATCCCGATAAGTTATCGACGTATTTAATTCTAACATCGTACGACTCCACTAAAGGTTCGATGCCGACTAATCTCATGATTCAAATGCGCTATTTTTCTGATGGTGTTAATACAATTTATCACACGGTTCACAGAATAAGTACGATATTATCCTTCGTGAATATCAGTGACTAGAATGGTATAGAAAATTACCGTTTTACCATTCCAGTAATTATTTCCTCAACTCCTTTATATGATTGTGAATAAGAAATACATATGTTCGTAAGATGTCTCGCACATGTTACGATGTCTTAAACAATGAACACCATCATTGAATACCAGGCCTTGTTTGTTTATTCACACACCCATCAATAAAGCAAGAGGTGATATTATCGCTTACGAATTCCATATCTGTGAATCACACAACTCCAAATCAATTATGTCATGATCCCAATAGCCGAGATATTGTTCAAAAAACTATGAACTAATCTCATTGGTGAATCAAAGACCATGAGAAATTAAGTCGAGTTATGTATTCACTTCCGGATTAAGATAATTACGCAAATACACTTAAGTTGTAATCATTAGATTTAGAGCTCTGTAAACGGTTTTTGGTCTAATCTAATTAGTTACGCGGTCTATTCAACATGTTGTGAACATGTCTAGATCAACCACAGAGTCCAACTCCCATGCCCCGAGACCAGCATCACATGGTTCGATCTAACAGTCATAATCGGATTCGATTCCCCAATCGATCCTAAGACTGCGAATATCAATTTTTAAACTATATCAGAAGAGCTTGTCCGGCAGGGATCCCCTGACTCTTCTTTCGTTGATAACAGTTTATGGACTAAGCAATATTACTAACACTCTTGAATATGAACCAAAACATAACTTTATTTTATTTATAAACATCAGCAAAATAATGATGTCCGATGTTTGCCATTTCATAAATAACAAATTACACCATACTTTATGGACACATTTCCAACAGTACTCACATATGATATCCTATTGTTAGGCAAAAGTTTAGAATTCCTCTTTCATGTTCATCAAAATTCCTATGATCACCGAATCATTGGCCAAATAATTAGGAGCATTAAGCTCTTAATAAGATAGGCAATATCAATTAATCAACTAAATATCACTTAGGGTAAAAATGAACCAAAATCCATCAATAGGGCTAAATTGCAATTCTAGAAAAAAAAATTAATCCCTTCATAAAAATAAAATTACCGTCCATAAGACTTTGAACATCAATAAAGCAACAAAAATTAATTAAATGAAAGACGTTTAGAAATTTCCAAATTCCATGATCCTCTTCTTTTTCTTTGGTTGATAATAATGAGTTGAGAATCATCATACAAATATGGTGGTTAATACAATATTGGTTAATGGCTAAACTGTAGATTGCTAATCACCAATAATATTTTTCCACTTATTTGGCTGAAAAGAAAATTTCTCATTATCAAAATTTTTTATGCTGACTAGTTTAGAGTACTGGATCAAACAGTTAGGGACACTAAATAGTTAATACAATTAAAATGTAGCACTTTAAAAGAATTTCACGTCTAGTCATCTACTGATCCTTAAAATTGGATAAACAAATTTGACATCTATAAATATATAAATGATGTCGTTTTAATAGTTACTTTAATATTTACATATTAATGGGTATCAATGATTTAACAGTAGGATATCAATTTGTCAGTTATAACAAATTATATATTTGACCAACAAAATTCATGATAATTAATAGAACTAGATTCTTATCACGTTATGTAGTCAGATTTTTATATTTAATAGTAACAACTGATTAGAAACGTAACTATTGAAAATTCGTTCACATATATAATATGAGAAAGATAATGTTCCATGACTTGCATATTAACTGGATTAATTTTTACGGAAATAGTAGAAAATAGGCCAATATGAAAAGCTTAAGGAAGTATATAGGCCAACTTTTAGTTATAGAAATTAATAGGCCATAACTTGTCAAGTTATGGTTCACAACTAGATAAGTTATGGACAAACTTGTCAGGTTATGGTTCATAGTCAGACAAGTTATGGATAAATATTATGATTTATGGACAATAACTTGTCAAGTTATGGTTCATAACCAGACAAGTTATGGATGAAAATAATAATTTGGCCTATTTATTAACTTATGTAAACTATTAGCCTATTAATTTTAATTCATCTCAAGTCTTAGCCTATTTCCCTCTTTCTCCCTAATTTTTATGCCAAATGGTGCGTTTATTTTTTATTTTTTTATTTTTTTCCACCAAATTTCATGCCAATATCCGTTTGCGTGTCATATCGATTATTACCATTTTCTCTATTGTTTTTTAAATAAGGTGGGGAATTTGAATTCTCCATCTAACCTCACATTATTTTATTCTCATCATATGTAGTTGTGCTTATAAAATAATGAAAAAAAGATATTTTCCACCAAAGAGAGCTCTTTTTTCTATTAATTTTAATTTCAAAGGTCACGACCAAAGGAACTAATTAAAGCCTTGACTCGGACCATTTTTTTTTTTCTAATTATTGGTAACTTTTGCATCTGGGGGCTTTTGGAATCTTAGAATATTAGTTCTTTTTTGGTTGATAAATTAAGGGCCATCAAACAAATATGGTGGTTAATGAGTTGAGAATCATAATAATGCTTCGGAGAAATTATATAGTGTTACAAAGTTTGCTTTAATATTTTAGAACCTACTGAAACACCTAGAAGTCATGTCATGAAAAATTATTAAAAAAATATAGAAACCAACTAATAACAAAGAAAATATTAATAGTTTGGTTCAATTTTTATTGTATTGGTTAGTTTTCATAATTTGTCGGTTTTTTGAACACCGCTGTCTTTAATTATCTTTTGGAACAGATTATAAAAGTACTAGTATGGTTTACTTGCAGAAACGACCATCTCCTTGAAAATTTTCACCGAAATTTGAAATTAATTTTTTTGTTGAAAATTTTGAAATTATTTTATACCTGCTCTGTCCGAAATTTTAAATTAATATTGTTCTATCTATATGTGCTTCAATTCCCAAAATTATTTTAAATGCTATATCATTCTTTTCTCCTAAAAAACAAAAAAGAAATTGTACATGTGAATAGACAAATTGAAATTATCAAAAATGAAAAAAATAATAATGTCATAGTTAATAATTAAAAAAGTTAAGCCACCAATAAAAAATAATTATTTAGGCCTCGCCTTCCAGATTGTAAGATTTAGTGTGAATCATAGTGATTTAAATTGTGATTCGAACCATTATTTGAATATTTAAATAAATTGTAATTTAAAATGAAAATAAAATTGAATTGCGTTTAAAAAAAGTGTTAAAAACTATCAATTGTGTGTTGTAACAAATTTTATAAAACCTCATTGTAAATGACATTAAAAAAAGAAGAATGCTAAATACAAACTCTTTTTTAGATGACATCTTTATCTTTTGACAAGTGTTATCTTAAATCCCGTTTAGTTCGTTGATTCTAGTTTGTAATTCGAGTTGAGATGTAATTTTATGTGAGAACTTTTTACTGTAGCAAAAAAGTTAGATGTGACTGTTTCTATGAGCTATGTGAGAACTTTTTACTGTAGTAAAAAAGTTAGATGTGACTGTTTCTATGAGTTTTTTACTGTAGCAAAACTCGAATTCTAAATTCGAATTCGTGAAGTGAACGGGGCCTTAATTCTTTCAAACACACTTAAAACCTGGTGGAATTTTCAAAACATAATTACAACATTGCCACCCTCTCTATTCAAGACCTCAACACACGTTCTTTTTTTTTTTTTTTTTTTTTTCTATTTGATCAGAAAAAAGACTTATAAAGTTAGTTTAAATATATTTTTTATAGTTGATTAAAATTTTCGAGTGTTGGATATCCTTCTCAGTCGAGGGTTGTAAATTCATCCGTCTCAGTCGGGCCTGATGATTTAGACTTGTCAAGGGTTGCAGCCGACTTGTTTCTTGCCTTCTCCTGTAAAAAGAAAAAAAAAATCGAGACATGGATAAGAAAGCAATAATAATTTTCACTAATATTATCCTTTTCCGTTCTAATTAATTAAAAATTAGGTAGACCATCAAACTTAAATCCAACTTACTTTTGCCTCAGAAGGAGTTAAATTGCATTTCTTTAAATCTTTGCTATATAGAACGTGGATCCCGCACTTTTTCACTTGACAGTTTGGAGACACAATATCAAGAATTCCTGCCTCATCGTATTCAATGAATGAAAATTCAAATGACACAGTTACTTCATCGGTGTAATTATGTTCACTATAGTCTTGAGGTTCAAACCACATGTACAAATGATCTGAGACTGATCCAGTTGGCAATTCACAACTAAACTCCGAATGTTCGTCAAACGAGATGCGACTGTAGTTCCTCCCCTGCAATTGTAATTCACAGACTAAATCCAAGTACTCAGCATCTTTGTAAGTGTCCCCTACAGCACACAGCACAAAACCCAAGAAGTTGTTATGGGGAAGCATAATCTCAATCCGACGTCCCTCTGATTGATGATTGAACCACTCTGGAATTTCATTTCCAGGACAACAACACGTACGAATTATAGGATATCCTTCCTGTAACATAGAAAAAGAGAAGAGTCATTTATTTCGTTTGCATAAATAATTAGTTCTTTTTCCGTTTCTAACCACAAAAGAAACAAGGCATACCTGATGTTCTAGGGATGCAAATCGGGTAGCCATGCGCAAAACTCTACGCCGGAATTCAGTTATAATGTTGTCCAGTGCCTTTTGACCCAATTTCAAGCAATCATAGAGTATTAAAGCACTCTTTGTAATGGGATAATTGTTCTCAAACTCTTGTGTGAGTGCTCTTTCTGATATTGACACCTCCTCCAACAATGTGCATCCACTTGCATCAAGAGATTCTAGACTCATCGGAGGAGCCGGTATAGAACGAAGATCACGGCAATCTTTCAAGAGAAGTCTTCTCAGCTTAGAAGCGTCTTTGATGCTTTCAGGGATTTTCTTTAAATTAGAGCATTTAACAAGAATATTTACCAAATCTACCCCGTGGAAAGTAAAACTTCCAAGTTTTGGACAGTTAAAAAGTTCGAGAGTCGCAAGCTTAGGCATGTTAAAGATGATTTCTGGGTCAAATTCAAGATATTCACAATCATTCGCTATTAGAAAGCGAAGCCCAATTAGATTTCCAAATGACGAGGGAAGCTTTCCAATCTTTGTTTTGGCTATGCAAAGATATGTTAAGCTTTCCATTGGTTTGGGGATATCCGGAAGGTTCTTCACCTTTGTGCACCGAAAGAGAAAAAGAGAACCAAGAAACCTCAACTCAAAAATGCGAGGTGGTAAACTTTCAAGACTGCTGCAATCAGATAGTTCAAGTATCCTAAGTTTAAAATTCTCAATTGATGGGAAGTCCAGTTTTTTTATTGCCGTCCCACGAATATTCAAATCCTCAATATTACTTGGAAGCTCTGAAAGCTTATTGAGATTTGAGCAGTATTGTAAGTGAAGACATTTCAACGAGTTCAGGTTATTCAAACCACTTAGATTGGAAAGTTTTTCGCAGTTAACGAGACACAATTCAGAAAGATTCTGGAGAGAATCAACTGATAAAGTCTCTATTGCAGTTGAACTTAAATCTAAAGACACCAGGCTCCTAGCTGTAATCATTGTTGGAAGAGTGTAAAGATTAGAACAACCTTTGAGAGTAAGACTTCTCAGGGATGCCGCGTCAAATATTCTATCTGGAACTTTTCGAAGGTTGTTACAGTTTCTCAAATTGACATCAATAAGGTTGTTAAGATTTTGCTGAATCCGTGAATAAGGAATTTCAAGCAAACTTACACAACCCTCAAGATTTATCCTCTCAAGGTCTGGAGAAGCAGAAACATCTGGAATTCGAGTCAAGTTATGAGAGTAACTTAGATCAATGCCTCTTAACTTCTTAAGGACCTGTACCATAAAGAAATGACAAGAATAACGAGACTTTACTTTATAAATTTGGTTCAATGAAACAAATTGAAGGTATATACCTGGCCTCCATCCCAAAGTTGTTTAAGTTGGCTACGATGCATCTTCAGGTCAACATGATTTTTCGGCTTAAAATTTGGTGGTAAAGATTCCAAAGGATATTGATTCCACTCAAGATATCGAAGCGAATTGGGAAGATACTGTAGACCACGTGGAAGGTATATATTTCGATTATCGATTTTGAGCAATCTCAAATTGCACATCTTTTCGAAAATTGTAGGCTCCAAGTGTATGTGTTCATCAATTTTTTAATAATGTAGGAATATTCCTTGAACATTTGCAGTCCCCTATCAAAAATAAATAAATAAATAAATAAATAGTATATATCAACATACAGATGACATGGAATAAACTACCACAAGTATAGATAGAAAGAGTTTAATGATCATCATAAAGTAAATACTAACAAGGTGTTACATATCAATGAAACATACATTTAAATTAACTATTAAACATCATTCTTTTTTGTTGCATTTTTTCTCAATAGAAAGTTGACACAATTCTAAAATGATCTATATTTGAAAATATCGACACTTACTATATTATTCTCCAGGACATGAATAATATGTTCAGCGATCCATAATCTGTTGCGTGCTTCTTGTTTTTCAAATTCTTGGCAAATAATGTCCCGACCTATTTCTTGCATCAAGTCATGCATTTGAAGCTTGTTACCTCGAGGATCAATAGTTATGAGAGACTTACCAATAAGATTATCTAACCCTGTACTCACAGAAAAACTGCACGCATTCAGAATGTTTTGTACAAAATCTCTACACATCCCTTTGAAGAAACATGCAATATCAAGAAAGATATTTTTCTCATCATTCTTCAGTCCCTCATAACTTATTTTTAACACCTCGCTAATATCAGCAGGAGGGGACATTTTAAATCTCTTCATGGTCATTTTCCATTTTTCTTTGTTGGGCTCACGAAGCGAACGAAGCTCAGAACCCACAACTTTAATAGCTAGCGGATTGCATCCAGCATAAGACACTGCCTGTTTTGATAGTTCCGCGTATTCTGATGTGGGAGGCTTTCCTCCATCAAAAGCTGTAAAATTAAAAAGATCAAGAGCTTCACTATCATTCAACTGCTCAACCTCGTACTCAGATGTTTCGACTTCATCGCTACCTTTAATCCTAAGGATCTTTTGATCTCTTGTCGTCAGGAGAATCCTACTACCAGACGCAAAAAGGTCACCGTCACCGACTAAATGCTCTAACTGCTCTGATTTACTTACATCATCCAAAACAATAAGAACCCTTATTTTCCTGAGCCTCCTTTTGATGATTTCTAGCAAAGATGGCGATTCCAAATCAACTGCTTTTTCCCCCAACAACTTAGCGAAGAGCTTGTTTCGTAATTTCTCTAATCCATCATGTACTTCCTCGGATTTTCCCCTAACATTTTTGAGAAAGCAATAACTTTCAAAGTGAGAAAAGAATCGACCATATACTGCATTGGCAAGGGTTGTTTTGCCTATGCCACCCATTCCCCACAAGCTTATTATGCGAGTATTTGCTGACCCAATACTTAATAGTGATTCAAGTTGTTCACAGCGTTTTTCCATTCCAATCATGCCCTTCAAACCATCAGCACTTGACAAGACAGTACTTTGCAATTTTTTCAACACGTCTTCAACAACTTCTTCAATTAACTTAGTGTCGGGCCTGTATATAAGAAAGAAAGTTAACAGTTACTATAGGAAATAGCTTTTAAAATATATATAAAAAATATATGTAATAGAGTTATCCGAGTTTTAATTCTTAAAACAATAGTATTAAATCTTAATTACATCGGTCGTTCGCACTATTACAGATACGAAAATAATGGTAAATTTTTTATTCAATTGTCAACTGTTCCTATCGGAAATAGGATTGACTACGGATTCGAGTCATAGCACATGGTTTCATAAAACCGTACGATTTTTCCGATCTAAATAAAGCAGGTTTTACATGAAGAAGATTTGGCTCAATATACGTAATAATATTGAACTAGTACCAGAACAATTCATTCACAAGATCATTAGTAATAACTACTAGATTGAGTAAATTGATACATGTAGTACAAATTAGTAGTAACCAGTTTAATTTTCTGCGTTCATTTAAAGTGGTGATCATGTAACATGCCAAAATGTGGTTTCCTATAATTTACACAATGTAATGTTCGTTTCTTTATGTGTGCATGACATTGTACTAGCCATGTTAGAAAAGTGTTAATATTTTATATGATTATATTTCCCTTTTAGTCGTTTCAATGATATACTCACATCTGCTCCAGCATATTTTACAGTGACCAAACAATCATTAAATGATTTTATTTTATTTATTTATTTTTGAAGCATTATGCAGTGAACTTCATATCTACAAATATAAACAATTTATTCCCATGCATAGAGTTTTGTAAAATTAGTTTTATTTTATATTTTTATATTTTATGTGTTAAATTTTTTTTTATAATATACATTTAAACCTTTTGATTTTATCCAAGTTAGATTCTGAGTATTGTTTACTTATTTATTCCAAATTGGAATATAAACAGCCTTATATTGGCATGGATTTTAAATTATATTTTGTGTAAGAAGTTGTGGTATTTTAGTTATTATTGTGATTATTTTTTTAACTTGAAGTGGGGGAATTTGAGCTCTACACCTCATGATGGAGAGTCCGAATATGAGGAGGAAATTTTTTAATAAATATCCTAGGGTTTCCACAGTTTAAAAGTCTTATATAAACTTGTTTTTTCATCAACCGTGTCCACTTTCTATCACAACCAAAATGAGTCGGCGTAATTTATTAATTAGTTGTATTTATTCAAATTTACACCTTTATACATGAAAATGTAAATGTTATACATGCATAAGTTTAACTCAAACTATAAATTGAATTCGCAAACTATAAATTGAATTAGCATACATTTTTAATCTATTTTCATACTGAGAATCAATTAGAGTTAATAATAAAATTTCAAATATATTTTAGAATTTTTACAGTGTGAGCTACTCTTTTTTACTACCGCTAGAAACTATTGTTTTAACCACTGAATTAATGTCAATAGTCTGAATTGTAATGGGAAGCATTTTTGTGTTGCATGCTATAAATTTTTAATGTCGACACTTCTAGATTAAAATGTTAAAAAATAATCTAGCAGCTAAAATAACAATCCCTTATGTTCATGAAAAATGATAATTCCCACAGCCTGTTTGCATAAAATTTTTGTAATTACAAAAGCACGCAAGATAAAGAACATTTTTTTTTTCACTAACAGGGACATGCCTAAGCTAAGCCCGTAAAACTAGCGGTTATATAAGAATTCTTTCAATCGCTAGCAAAATGACACTAAGCATTCTGCAACACCAAAGTCAACAAATCAATTCTAAGAGTTTGAATTTAATTTTTTTGCTTTTGATCTGAAAGGCTTTTTAATTTTAATGTCGAATCATGAATACGGAATATAAGTTTGTAGTCCTATAAAATATTGTCTAATATTATTTCATTCGAGAAGAAGTCGAATTGAGTTATTCTAAATAGAGTTTCTCTTTCATTTCATTGTTCTTAACATTATTGAGAGAATCAACAAAACTTTGATAACCTTACCTTATGATATTCTTGAGAGAATGTCCTTTTTTTCCTTTTAACCATTAGAGTGCAAGTTGTGGTCGTGAGCGTGAAATGAACAGTTAAAACTCATTTGTGTTGATTTTGATAATAAGATTTAATATCAGTTATCTTCTCTCATCAATCAAAAATGTATATATACATATATATTCATATAAAAACCCATCCTCTCCCATCATTCAAAATATATATATATATATATACACACATATATATTCATAAAAAAAACCCGAACACTATTGAAAAAAACAAAAAACACCATACACTACTGATATGTAATCTGACCTGTAGAGGGGTACTTCAATTCGTAATTAAAAAAATGAACGGAAGTGGCGTCTTTCTAATTTTTCAAATATCTCAAAGTGTTCAAGTGGAATATTTCGGTCAATGGGTGTCTGTTTTATTAGGTTAGCTCTCTATAAATTTTAATTACGTTTACGCTCGCAATTTAACTTTGAACAAATGACTGGCAATTAACAAAATGTGTCAAACTAAATAACAGCCATATTAATCTTAAAAGATAAGTATTTTAACATGTTTAATTATAGCAAAAAAAAAAATGTATACTGAAGAATAGTTTCAATTGCTAGCAAAATGATAGATGTTACTCGGATATTGTTCTGCAACAATTCAACAAAGAGATTCAGACGCTTCTAGAAAAAAGTTGGTGTGCATGTATTCCTTCATTACGTTTATGTAAATACTGTCCGTAGAAACATGAGTGAAAAAACAAATACCTTGTGACTTGTGAATTCCATCCAGATAGATCAGCTGATTTTGTTAAAGCAACTCTCCATTTATCAACCATTTCCATGGTGTCCTTGAAACGATTTTCATGCTCTATGAATGACTTCGCATAACTTCCTTTTTGTTTCTGTATATCAGATGGATCTACTCTGTAAAAAATAGGTAATAAAATCTGTCCATTGTCTCGGCGACATTTGAGTATATGTTCGAGCTCACGCAAACACCAGGTTGACGAAGCATAATCTTTTGAGAAAATGATTATCGCAATCTTGGACTTCTGAATTTCTTCAGGAAGTGCAAGATTGATGTCGTCTCCTTTCTCAAGGATTTCCTCATCGATATAAATCTTGATCCGCTTTCGTTTCAAAGCAGCAGAAAGATGGCTTATGAAGTTATCGTGCATGTCTTCACCTCTAAAACTGAGAAAGACATCGTATTTCTCACAAATAGAGGAAGGAGAAGAAAGAGAAACACCATAATCATCCATATCAACAAATAGAATGAAAGCTCTCTTAGCAACTTGACGCCTTTGAGAAGCAAAGTTTTATAAAAGCAAGCCTAAAGCTTGAGAAGAAGTTGCAGGCACACCAAGATGACCTTAAAATAAACTTGCTTGAGAGACTTCCTTGTGCGTTCTATCTCCACTCACGCGTTTTCAATAGAAGAATATAATTAAAATCTTAACGAGTTATATTAAAAACGAATGGCCATATCATGTGACTGTGTTCCCTATTTAAATATGAAAAATTAGATATCCGAAAATAATTACCTTTATATAATCTTTTGTCAAGCCACGGAGCTAGAAATGTTTGTCAGTGGGATAATATTTACTTTAAAAAATGCTTATTATAATGACTCCTTCTGTATTTTATCAATATTACAGTCGCCTCCCTTGACTGAAACTAATCACAGAAGCACCCCTCACCTAAACTCTGTTAAATTTATTTAGAAAATGTCAAAACTACCTCTTTTAATATCAGCCATTGATCAATGAAAATGGGACAGTACGTCTGAAGTGAAGCCGACCACAACTCAAAGACATAGATCATTATTTTAAAGGTAACAATGTTTTTTAATATTTATGTATTTAATTATATAGCTAATTAATTGTTATAGAGCAACTAGGGTTAAGTCCTTAATATTTTTGTTTTTTTATAGAGCAACTAGGGTCATCAATCTCGAGCAAAAAAAAAAAAAAGGTTTCTCTCACTCAATGTAAACACTTTTGCGTTCAGACAACCACCAGACCATTTTTGTAGCGTAAAAACCGGTGATGATCATTGAGATACCGCTTAACACTCAGTCTCTTGTTGTTTTAATCAATAATATTTCGGGGCAATATTGAAAATATTGGAAATGAATATTGGCTTTTACTATGGAAAAAAGGGTATACAGGTTCCAAATGGAATAGATCCTGTTGGGAATTAATTTTCAGGGGAACTTATCTTTCTCTTAAGTATAAATGAATTATTACACTATATGCGCTTGGATTGGTGTTGGATACATTATATTAATTCCTAATTATCCTGCATTTTGTGCCGATTATGATAGTCAGACAAGTATTGATTCTCTATTAAATCTCTAACTACACAACTGAGATTATAAACCTTTATTCTAAAAGGTTTTTTATGCATATGACTTCTCTTTTTTGGGAGCTTTTATGGTAGGGCATTCGTAGGTTACCATATAGTGCGTTATTTTAAACTATAAATATAATTAAAATCAGTTCAAAATAATGAAGTTTACCAAATTGATAGGACTTGATAAAGATTTGAGGGTTAAAGCGGAGCCTTGCCAATTATGGACATCTGATCAATTACAAAATGAATAAAATCTAAGAAGGAAAAAAGGGCCAATCTCCACTGGGTTTTGTAATATTTAGAATGAAAGCTCTGTACAAGTTTTGACCCCTATGAGGGGCAGAGATTTTGTGGACTTAATATAGAGATTAAGAAATTTCAAGACTAAGATGAAATTGCATGGAATTATATCTTCCGCGGTTGGGATGTGATAACTCTATTTTTGTTTTTTTTACATTTAAAAGTGGCCAGTTTTTGTGATTTTTAACTTATTTAAAATTAGTTTACTTTATTTTGTATTGTAATGAATACTTATAATTTTAGAGTTATTTTATTTTAGTCTATTTAGTTTAGTTTTAGCAATTTTTATTTTAATTTCCCTTCCAAAAAAATTATAAGGGTCTCATTTGAAAAAGGAAAAAAAGAATGTATTGTAGAGGGAAAAAAAGGGAGGGGAAAAAGAAAAAAAGGGGAAAGGAAGCAAAGAAAAAAAAGAGTTAATGCAAAAAATAAAAAAAATTGCGTTAACGTGGGAGGTGAAACGTGCGAAACGTTTCGCACGGCTCCCACGAAAAACAAATTCTCTTTTAAAGAATGGTATATATCACGCGCTAACTCATTTAAAACAATGATTATACAAATTGTTAAAAAAAAGAGTGAACAAAAAAAGAACTAAAGGGGAATAGATCTAAAACAAAAGGAAGGAAAAAAAGGCCTAATAAGTATAAAAAAGAGCACAAAAATTTTTTTTTTTTTGAAAAAAAAGTTTCACTTAATGATGGGGGGAAGAAATCCCTTGCGCAATGTTTCACACATGAATGTGCGAAATGTTTCACAAATACCAAGTGAGAAACTTATCCTCCCTTAGTAATGTAGTAAAGATTAGGGGAAGCAACAAGAAAATGGAATAAAAAGTGAAAGAAAACAAATATGAAGACCGAAATAGGTAAATAAAGAAGAAGGAAAGGCAAAAAAAATAAAAGCAAAAAAAAAAAAATGGCATGGGACGAAGTATTTCATCAATAGAGAAGAGGGTTTTAAAAAAAAAATTAAACAGTGAAATGTATAAAAATAAATTATTTTAACAGAGAATTAGAGAGAAAATAAATTTATGAGAGTTAATTTGAAGAAAGGAAAAAAATTTAAAAAAAAAATTATATAATAGAGCAAAAAAGATAAAAATGAGAAAAGAGTGATACAGAAGAAAGGAAAGAGGAAAAAATGAAGTAAAACATAAAAAGAGGTAGAAAGTTTAAAAAAAAAAAGAGTTTTAAGGTATGTAAATTTCTACATATTAACATAAAAAGAGGGGAAAATGAAGTTTTCGTGTTTTTTTTTTTTTTTTTTTTTTGCACTGTTGATTTTGTGTATTTGTTGAAACTGACGACATATATATCCACCTTCTCCAAACTTGTTAACTTCAGTTTTAAGATATGTAAATTTAGATATCTATATCATAATATGATATAGTTTGGAATATGTATAATATTTTTTTTCTGTAATATGCATAATATTGTAATATGCATAATATTATAATATTATAAGATGATGCATCGATAATGAATATACTATGTAACGGTATGAAATGATGAGAACTAGAGCGTTAATAAAATTTTAATGAAAAAAATATTATAAATTTTATATTATTTTATATCATGTTAGTTTCTAAATTTTTTCTATATTTGTGCCCCCACTGAACTAAAGGTATGGCTACGTCTCTGCCATTATATACGGTATTTACTAGTCACTGGTCATCAGAGTCAGTTGTCGGAGTAGCTAGCCACCGGCCATCGGAGCGAGTCATAATGGACTTGACTAGAGTAGGGAAGAAGGAAGGTTGGAAGGAGAGGGTTTAAGGGCATTTTAAGTTTTTAATAATGTTTGAAACATAGTTTTAAAATTATTCTATTGTGCCATTTCACTCATTCTCCCTACATTAAATAAAAAATAAAAAATAAAAAAAACATTTGTACATTTTTTTATGTGGATAGCTAACCACTACATGTTCTGAAAAGTATACTAAATCCAATGCAATGTCATCAAGTAGAAATTCCTCCACATCGATCCAATTATTTATTTGTCCTTAACCTTCGACCAAATAATTCTTTAGAAAAGTCATATTATGCCTAGTAGGTCCTGATGATAGCGACAATACAGCTACTCTTTTGCTTAAGACGCGTTAGAGGAAATATAATAATGGCAAAAGTGCTTAATAAACTTTGACTTTGACATGTAATTAATCTTCTTCCTGATAACTCTATTAATATTAGAGTTATTTTACTATTTTTGTTCATTTTAAGCTGTTAAATTTTGAGTTTTTTATTTTATTTTATTTTATTTTGAATTGTAATGAGTACTTTCATTTATGACTTATTTTATTTTATTTTATTTTAGTCTATTTAGTTTAGTTTTAGTCATTTTTATTTTAGTTTCCCTTCCAAAATAAGTAGTTTCCTCATTTATGTAATGAATTTGTGACAGGTGGGCTTAATTGTAAAGTTTTGAGCTAAAATGAGGTCAAAATGTAAAGACATAAATAAGAAATAGAAAATAAAATTCGACCTAAACAAAGCTCAATCTAGAGAGTAGAAAACGAAGCTAAAGTCGCTTTTGTAGCCGTGTGATCCGCACCACTAACGGACCAGATCATGTGTGTACAGCACCGCCCTGATATATGAGTTCAAGTAAACAAAGAAGCAGAGAACATCTAATTTGCACGCTTCACGTCGCATGGCTTCCCATTATCTCTAGCTCCCTCTGCTCGGCTTTTTCGGCTTTTTGGCAGCCACAAAGCGACTTTGGCTTCTATTTTTACTCTCTAGATTTGGCTTTGTTTAGTTCGAATTCTATTTTAAATTTCTGATTTGTTTCTTTACATTTTGACCCCATTTCAGCTCAAAATTTTACAATTAAGCCCACTGTCACTAAATTCATTATATAAATGAGAAAACTAATTATTTTGAAAGGGAAACTAAAATAAAAATTTCTAAAATTAAACTAAATAGACTAAAATAAAATAAAATAAAATAAGTCTAAACTGAAAAATATTCATTACAATTCAAAATAAAGTAAAATAAGTTAAAATAAGTTAAAAATTTCAAACAGTAACCACTTTAAATGTAAAAAATAGTGAAACAATTCTATTTTTAATATGAGGAAGAAGATTAATGACATGTCAAAGTCAAAATTTATTAAGCACTTTTGCCATTATAATATTTCCTATAACGCGTCTTAAGCAAAAGAGTAGTTGTATTGTCGTTATCATCAGGACCCACTAGGCATAATATTACTTTTCCAAATTTACTTTGGAGAAGGTGGATATATATGTAGTAGGTTTCAACAAAAATACACAAAATCAACAGTGCAAGACCAAAAAAAATAAATAAATAATAATAATAATAATAAAAGCACGAAAACTTCATTTTTCCCTCTTTTTAATACCTTAAACCTTTTTTTTTTTTTTTGCTTTCTACCTTTTTTATGTTTTACTTCATTTTCCCTCTTTTCTTTCTTCTGTATCACTCTTATCAATTTTTTCTTTTTTGCCCTATTATAAATTTTTTTAATTTTTTTCCTTGCTTCAAATTAACTCTCATAAATTTATTTGTCTATCTACATACCACTGTTTATACATACCACTGTTTAAATTTTTTTAAAACCCTTTGTTTTCTTTCACTTTTTATTCCAT